ACAACAACTCCAATCGATAACAGGTTGTAATCAGGTATGTATATATATATTATATACGAAATCAATAATGATATACTAATTAGTAGAGACAGGATCACTGGACGGAAGGTTGGTCAGCGGTACAGTCAGCCTATGCCTATTTGTTGCATCATCATCTACAGGCAACGGGTCAGCAATCGAGCATTCTATCCACGTACTATACGTATATCAATGAACAGCTAAACACGATAGAGTCATCTGCCACACCATCTGCCTATAGACAAATGGCTGTAATGAATCTGGGTGTAGCACTTGGCTTCACTTGGTCATCTTCCATTAAAGAGGGCGTTGTTCCATTCTATCAAACTGACGCGTCAAGCGAGCCAATACTCCGTTTATGGCGTGCATGCTCCTCGGAGACGAGTACGAGTACTCGAGACATCAAGAGTAGTCGTATGGTGGGACTGATGGCTATACGATGGACGAACGAACTACAAATGGATCGTGATCACGAATTAATACACGCCAACAGCAACAGGATAGATGGCAATAGCAGTCATGAGCCACATGATTTAACTCGTCTTCCATCGACTAGTTATCTACGCGCTGTATTTGATGTGCTAACAGAGATGGTACAAGGTGGGTTCAATGCTGCAACACTACTATCCTATTGACCTATTGTGTACACAGGTGGCATAGAAAACGAAACAAAAGTGCTACTACTGCTGCAAGCGTTGTCCCACGTATCATGGCAGTATCCCATTGTTAACTGGTGGCCGGTGTTGTCTCGTTTATTGGAATGGCCCAGCTCGTCGATACGGTCGTGCTTGCTGCACATTGCAACACGACATGCAAGTTACTCGAGTTCATTGTTGAAGGTGTTACAATTAATGTTGCTTAGATTCCAGACGGAACAGAGCACAGAACTACGCTGCCATCTCGTTGGGGAACTGGGCGTGGGTCGTCTACTAGCGCTGATTGGTCTTGGACCTATTCAAGCATTAACTTCGAGGGAGGTCGATTGCCTACAACTGAATAAGCAGCGTGGCACAAGCGATGAAGACGCGGGACAAACATCTACCATATCGGCAGCACAAGTACAATCGGTATTACAATCGATAGAGGAGACACTATTTGGATTGGAGTCCAACCAGTTGACAGAGGAGCGGCTTATCTACTTGAGCACGCTTGCCAACCATTTGGACCGACCTTCATTGACGCAATACATCATTGACACGGATAGGAAGAAGGAGAAGCCGCAAGAGGAGACGGAGGCAGCCGAGGAAACATTGTATCAGACACGATTGAACCTACGACATCGACTACATAAGGGTATGTCCAATAGAGAGATCTACCTTACGGTTAAGGCCTCATTAAGCCTTCCCGATGAGATGCCAACTACGATACGATCCACTAGGGAGGATGCATTTGACCACATGTGCTATGCAAAAGTGATATGTGCTCTAGTGAAGCTGGGTCGTCTGCCCTCTACGCGATATCTAGTAAAAGTTATACAAAAGACACTGGATCGTAGAACAACGCAGGAACAGTTTATTGATTTTGTTCATTACTGGATACTGCCAGCATTGTACCAACAAGGAAGACAAGCTAAGCTACTGCCCGTACTCGGTGCGGAATGGTTAATACGCTGGCTTGACGTGCTTATCCTACAAGCGGATAAGCCTAACTGGCCCGAGATGATAGAATGGTTTATACGGTATTTACTACCAGGCACCATTCAAGTAATGCAAGATGACCTATCATCCAATGATAACAACACGAACTACGAGGCAATTGGTCTGCCTAAAGAGATTGACGCACGAATGACATCACTTTATCGTAATCATTGTAATGCAATAGACCTCGTTGATTATGCAGAAGCCTTTTATGCCACCGCAGTAATAGGCGATTTTGTCGTGGAACTACCGATATCACATTATGAACTACAGCGTCAGGTAAGATGAATATGATGTATACATAGTAACACATATATACATATATACATACTAATACTACATGTCATATCTAGTTGGTTAAACGTTTAACCACAATACATGGTTATTGTGTGGCACAATCACCATCCAATGCACTTCTTTGTTCGCCTTCGTCATCATCATCATCATCATCTACATCCACTGCATTCGTACTATGGCAAACATTAATGGAGCGTATTTTGCCAGCACTTACAGTTCAGGAAAGACGCCACTTTAGAATGAACAACCACAATCGTTGTAGCACTAACAGCAGCGGTGATAACATATAGTATTGAGATCTACAGGGAACTTGTACCATTCCATTTATGGTAGACTTGAGCATGTGTATGGTAGATCCATTATTACTGTGTTATGGTAGCCACGCTAGTCACCTTGTGGCTACCATAGTAGCCTAATAAAAGGCGTCCATATTAATGCATGTACCCGTGCTTCTTCCATTTCCATTCGTGTATGCATACACACACAAATACTTTATCAAACAATCTGTGCTCTCCTTCATTCCCACTCCTGAACTTTTTTCTCCGCTATTGTCAGCATCACATTATCATACTCACACTCTTATATATATATATATAATATCATTGACATTTATTACTATCCTTTGATAAGGTGGTGTGGTCCTTTTCTTCCTACTCGTCTACTCGTCTACCTATCTACTTCTCTTTAATGGCTTGTCCACTTTCTTATCACTTTATCCTACTGCCAGTTGTATAAACACCCTGGAATAGTTATTGCCTATTTACGCTTGGTCCATGTCGTCGAATTCACGGCCGTGTAGTTTGTTAACGACATTACCGGTCGAATTACACCATGAACTACTGCGATTGCTAGACGATTACACTGCCACGCAGTTGTCCATGGTGTGTCGGTCGGTATTCTATGGCATAGCGTCTGATGCCAACTATTGGCAGAGTCGTTATCGTGCATCGTTTCCTATGCGTCCCGAGGAGGAGGAACTCGATCGTTGGATGAACGAGCGCAAACGAGAGGAGACACTGTTCAACAATCGACAGTCACTACAAAGTGTGAAATCGCTATCGCATTACTCTATCGATACGACAAATGCCTCCGAGACATGCTCGCCGTTCTATTGGTATTTCTACTTGAAGCGTAGAGCATTCCTACAAGAGAAATGGCGACGTGGTCATTATAGAATACAGCAAATACCCTTGCCCATATGGTCATCGTCGTCGTCGAATAACGAGGAATTCTCGGTATCTGTAGTGGCCACTAGTCCTTGGCGTACTCTTGTCATCTATCGACCAATTCCCCTTGATATTAGTACTAGTATTGGTAATGCTACTAATGGTAATAGTAATGATGATTCGACTATTGTCAAGCAACCGGCATCATCTACTCGATTGGTAGCGGTGGAGCATGCAACATCTCGTCGACGCACCAGCACTTATTTAACAGCATCATCTTCATCATCCTATTTATTACAGAATTATGCAGCTGTTCAATCGACAAAATCACCCTATGTGTTAATGAGTAGAAATTACACGGTAGCTTATAATCTATACCATTTCGGCTATGCTTACACATGGGTGTGGCGACGTGACAATGGTCGACCACTTACCATTCCATCATTACGCAATAGATGTTGTCGACCGCAAACACTTATTGATCACTGGTTGCTCGTATTAGTGACGTTTGAATCATGTAAACCAACGGATACTGTACCTATTTATTTAATCAATCTATCCCACTATACGAGTAATGATGATAATGACGGTGATGGCGATGGCGATGGCGACAAGTACATCAATGAAGATGATTCGGTCATTCCCATTAACATCCTAGGCGGTTGTGTCACTTGTCATGTTCAATCGACCGATGCGTCCAGTTGGCGTATATTCACGGGTATGCATCGACAGGATCGATTCCATTGGCAACTCTGGCAGGTGTCATTGCCTAATGGTAAAACGGATACTACGCCACATCAGGATAGAACACAATTAGTGGCTAGTGGTTGTATACCGGAACCGGAGCCATTATCCGCCTTTAGCAATGCCGTCACCTATATGGATACGTGGCATAGTGTTATTGTCGATTGGCGACCTGAATTCAACACCACTTGTCAGTATTCGCATTACGATTTAACGGGAGAGACGCCACCCACGAACTTGTGGCTAACCGATCGACAATACTCGCTTGATTGGCATCATTGTCGAGCACCGGCTCGTCGTACACTTTCCTCTAATCTATACATTGATCAACGAGCCGGTCAAGTCAGGATGAATACGGCGAAAGGCTCGCCCCTCCTCAACTCCGGTAGACAGCAACATCGACCGAACGCCTATTTATGTCGTGTGGCAAGTACGTTACGTATCGCGGGCAGCACGGAACACGGTTGGTATTTGGTGGAGGAACCCGATCAACACGGCAGCAATAATTGTCATCATCATCATCATCGAGCAACGGGAAATGTACTTGGTATACAAGAGCAAGGTAGTCAATACCGAATATTGTGGCCATTACCGATAACACCTACTAATCGGGTACATCATCACGCGTGCGCCACTCATCTATGCGCAGTACAAGGGAGATCACCATTGATTACACGCGATAATAGCGACGGTGTCTACGCCGGATACAACGAGCCACTCATGCTGACTATACTCGATGTGGCAGGCATATGTGATCAGCATAGCACTAGTAATAGTTCACAACAGCGGCATTGCTTGATACTTGATGCATTTAGCAAAATGATGCATTATGATCGGCGTAGAATGTTAATGTCGCCGACACCGACAACTACCGCGGCAACGTCAAGAAGCGAGAATAATTTTTGGAGTAGACTACGACAACATGTTTGTCATTCATTTACACGAAAGCATTACTAATTTTTGTATTTATTCATTAATTAATCATTCATATACAATAAATCTAAATTAACAGCGGTAATAGTAATTATATCTTATTGCCTTTTTGGGATATATGACTCAATGCCCATATATGGTAATTGTTTGCTATTTTTTAACAAATTTATATTAGCAAACAACCTTAATTTTTTAATTATGATAGGCTTCCTTGGCTCAGTCGGTAGAGCGTCAGTCTCATAATCTGAAGGTCGCCAGTTCGAGCCTGGCAGGGAGCATAGCATAAGCAGCGCTTGTTTTTTACTAAAAAAATGTAACTTTTACGAAGCAAAACGATTGGTGCGTGTGAGATTCGAACTCACGCCTTCATACGAAGACTGCAACTTGAGTGCAGCGCCTTAGACCGCTCGGCCAACGCACCATTAACTTCCATGAAATTGAGTGGAATTTTGACATCACATTCATAAAAATTTGAATTTTTGCTTTTTTCGGGCCGCCGCGCGCCGAAATGACGTTTAACTAGCGTATAAACAACTGTAGTTAGTATAATTGCTTATTAACTACATAGTAGTATAGTAAAAGGCAGTTGAAATATGTTGATTCGGCTAGATTCCTGTTTAATGACATAAAAATAAGAATTACTGCTTTCATGTACTCATCCCGAGAAAGACAACGAGTACTACGGCAGTATTAATAGAAAGGCTAGGCTTCTGTGCCCCGCTTCTTTAATTAAATAAAAGTAGGCCACGGCCAAGAGTTATAAAAAAAAGCCGCCGCTTCATTCATTTGAATGTTGTCAATTTGGTTTATTATAATAAAATAAGCTACGGCAATATTAAAAGAAAAAAAATCCTTTATTTGCTCTCTCTTTCTCTCCTTCTCTCTAGTTATTTGTACTCTGTCGGGATACTACACCATGAAATTATTTATCGTCACCATTGTTGCTATCATCGCTACTATCGCCATTAGTGCAGAGATGATTAGTGCAAAGCCAGCAGTGATATTCCGTCGTGATAGACACAAATCAGCCATAGGTTCACCACCATTCAGTTCCGGATCGGGAATTAGACATCCAGTCGATGGTTAATAGGAACACAAGTGTCAAGCAAGCTATTTTGATACAAGAAACCTCGCTTATCGAGTCCAAGTATAATCGTTATCATTATCCGGCCTATTTCCTTACAATCATCCTATCGCAGCTAACGAACCGTAAAGGATGTCGTTTATAGCGAATAAATATGCGTTATTGATAACTAAAAAAAGGTCGCCGCACGCCGAAATAACGTTTAACTAGTGTATAAACAGCTGTAGCTAGTATAGTAAAAAGCAGTTAAAATATGCTGTTTCGGTTAGATTCCCGTTCCATAATGTAAAAATTAGAATTACTTTGCTTTCATGTGTTCATCCTGAGCGAAACAACGAGTGCCGTACTAGGAGACGTTAGTACGTATATGTTGCTGTAGTCATCGTTATCGAGGCAGTTGTACATATTCTCGTCAGATCTCGAACTATAACATACGGAACACTATTCATTCGTGTGTTATGACGTGGTAAAGACGGGCAAGTAAGTATACGTATAAATATTGGTTTATTTGACGTACGCAAGAAGGGGAGAGAGAGAGCGTAGACGTGAATGACAAGGTTGTTAACTGATTAGATTGTGTTCATAAGGCGTGTTATTATGATAAAAGAAGAAGAGAGAGAGAGCGTTTAATCATGCTTATAATTTGCTGTCAAGTGCAGATAAGAAAGCTGGTAGATTCGGCCGTTTATCAGGGGAGAATGCCATTAATTCTTTGACATTAGTAAACAAATCGTCTAGTCTATAGTCAAGGTGATATAATATGGATTTCGGATAAAGGTAAGCTTCAAAGTTTAGCGCCTGGAGCGTTTTTAGCTTGGCCGTAAACGTATCCACCGTGTCGCCCTCCTTATACAGCATTACAAATGGTTTAGTGTCCAGTATCGCTTCGTAAAACGTCGTTCCAATGGACCAAATGTCGTATAGGATAGGATTAACTGGTACGCCTGCAAGTGATTCGGGTGGTCGGTAAAAGACGGTACCATAGGTGAGTGTAGGCTTATTCGCCGGTACAGCATGATCGAAATCTATAATCTTGACATATTTCTTCCCTAATAATGTGGCGTACACCATGATATTCCTTGGTTTAATATCCATGTGTGCCAGACCAATATTGTGAAGATAGATGATACCGTGAAGAATTTGCTTCAGAATGCCTGGCAATTCACTGCGTTTGACTTGAGGCGATAATCCCTTGGCATATTCGTCCAATGTATTGCCATTAACATATTCTAGAACAAAGCAGTATGCATCGTTGAGGGAGAATTCGTTATAATAATTAAGAATGTATTCTTTGCCTGCTGCATTATTCTTATTGATGATGCTGAATGCATATTTCTCCTGGTCTATATGAGTCTTAACGTTCGTACATTTGATTATTGCCGCGGATTTGCTATACCATGAGGAATACCACGTCTTTCCAACGAACGTATACTCTTCATCAACAAGCTTATTCGTGATCTCAAATCCCTTGGCTTTAAGTGGTTCTAAAAGCTTGCTAGATAGTTTAGGTGCATTAGAAGGAGACGACGACGATGATAATAACGATGAAGATGATGACGATGGAGGTGGTGTAGCGTGGATGCTGTATGGTCCCGCAATGAGTACAGTCATCCATGCGACCGTCCAAGCGGTACTGAGTGTATTTCGAAACAACATGATGTAGATTAATGCAAGTGTAACGATGCGAGGATAGATGGTCGTAAGCGTGTATGGTTAGATGAGTAGGAAAGCAGAAAAAAAGGACGAATGTTCGTACAAAAGCTCCGTTTAAATAATATGAATTCCAACATCCATATTAGTATGGCGGTTACTCGTTTCCAGTGTCAATTTTCTCGGTAGACGTTAATGGCTCTATTGTGATCTACGAGCAGTTTCGTCCACACGTGTAGGTAAAACGTCGATTATGTCGTCGAGTATTCGTTTGTAAACTCCGTCTAATCAGTTGCTTCTTATTGTAGATGATTTAATTGGATGGAACAATCTAAATTTATATGCAGTATAACCTATATAGTTCTTACGTTGTACAAATAAGTGCTAAGGAGAATGTTCTCTAAATGTGACTATTATATGAGCGGTGATATAGTTGTTATTATCCGCTATTTTGATATTACTGAAATGGATAAACATATGGCTACATGTGTATGTATACGTAAGGTGAATTAGCAATGGTAGAATGTGGCATGCTAAATGTTTATTTTTAGTAAAGCGATACGATGTGCGGTATCGGATAACTGATAAGAGGACAAGTAATGAGGGAATATATGTATACATTTACATTGCATATGTGATGCGTTGAATATGATGCGATGTTCCACAAACAAAAAAGCGGTGATTCATCATTTACTGGGTATTTGGTTAGCTTGGCTATGTGACGGAAATGGCATCTAACGCAACATTAAGAAAAAGCGGAATACGCAGGCATGCGCAGGAGTATAAGCAAGTTGATTAGATGGGCAAATGATAAAGATGCATTGGTGCGACTGCTTTCCAAGAAGTAGCTGTGCCAACACCAACAAAACAGCAACAGCAGATTATTGTAGGATCGTTGTGTCATAGTAGCGCGTGCTTGTCCTACACATGTATGTATACACCCACACCCACACCCACACACACTCATACACATGCATGTATTTTGCCCTGTCAACAGCACCATTATGACGAAATAAAGGTAGAGCGAGAATACAAAACCTGACAGGTGTGTGCCACCAAAGGACAATAGAATTGCCGGAGATGTTAAAGTGGCCGTTCAACCATAGCGATGGGTAGAGTAACCAGCAAATCGCTTTTTACTTTAAGCACATTATCAACATTCGAAGCTTCGTGCGGTACAAGATTGACTATTATTGTAATTGTACAAGCAACAGCAACGCACTAGTACTAACAATCGAGGAAAGAGGCGATGATACAAATGACACATTGTGAGTGAAGATGGGTTCAATGATCTAGAGGGGATGGCCATTTGTTGCCACTGCCATTCTCTCTCCTCTCTTTTCTCTTTTTTTTTGCTTCCTTCTGTCACAACAGGTTTGTTACTCATTGTAGTCATGAAAGTCATCGCGTATCCTAGATGCTTTTGTTGTTGGGGGGGATATTGACCATTTTCTATTTCGGTGCAACCTCACCTGCAGTATCTCGTAACTCGTGGATAGGTGTTGCGCAGTATGATAAATCAATAGAGGGACATTACTGTTGAATACGCATTCTACTGATGTATCTGTTCGACAACCCGTCAAGAAAGAAAGAAAGAAAAGATAAGGCTCGGCAGACAACATACTTACCTACCTGCCTACCTACATAGGTGCATAGGTGCATGCGGCCATGTTAATTCACTGAACTGATAAACAGCCGCATGATAAACTAGCCGTATACACGTCATGCTCTAGTCTGATATTTTTTTCCGGCCTACATGTCCGCCACCTTCACAGCACAGTCTACGTGATATTCTGAAACTGCAGTAGTGCGTGTAGACAATCTACAAGTGGATTGAACAGTCCACACGGAGTGCCCTTGTCATACGCTTGCCTCTTTGGTGACTATTTCCGTACTGTTGCTCTCCATCTGTACAACCCTCTTAATGCACTAGCATCGTCACCGACCCTACTCGACCAATTTCGTTATCGTTGTCATCAAGAAGACGGTTGCCGACAGACGTGTGCATGAAATGAGCGAGTGAATTATTGAGGACGGGTGAGTGTGCTGAATAATAAACACACTTCTGTTTCTTTTTCTGCCTCTCTCTCTCTCTCTCTTTTTCTTTCCTATATTCGTTGCCGTGCTTTACAATTCTATTTATACTTGAATGTGTCGCACTTTTCCGACCATTTCTGTCGATATTGCTGGTTGATCCTCGTATCTTTTGTTCTTTATTCACAATCTACCACTTAAAAAAACCGTAACTGTATTGTTTATAACTATTTCAATCGTCATTTGCCATTTATCTACTTTGTCTCCAATCGTTTAACCAATTCATCATCATCATCATCATAACCGTCATAACACGCACATACTCTTTGTCTATTCAAACATCTAGTTATCCTCTATCGTATTCATTCTCATTCATCTACCGCACCAATATCCATTGTATTTGGCGTAAACCTGCTACAATACAACCACTGTAGTAATATACGTTTTCCTCTACGTTTTACATATTTTATATTTGTATCAAACGAGGTGACGACAAACTACCATTTCCGTGGTGTCCACTTCTCTTTCTAGTAATCATTCGGTATTGATTCATCCTCCGCCGTATTCATTGATATCACCGACTCACTCTCCTCACTCTCTCCTCCCTCAATTTCGCCCTTTGTACTCTTCATTGCTGCTGGAGACAGCCTTTG